ATCAACCCCTTCGGTGAGGATGATGACGACTTTGAGACCAACCAGCTCATAGACCGCAACTTGCAGGTACGCAAGGGCTGGGGGCAGCTGCCTGTGCTCCCCTCCTTGCCAGCTCTCTGCCTGGGTGTGGAGAGGACAGGGGATCCTTACGACTTGATACCTGCCCCAGGTGTCTCTGTTATCCGTGGACGACATGTACCAGAACCTGCCTCCCGCCGAGAAAGACCTGTACTGGGACGAAGACTCCGCGCAGCCACCCTACACGGTGGCCACCGCGGCCGAGGCTCTGCGGCCTTCCTTCCTGGGCTCCACCTTTAACCTTCGGTAAGTGGCCCACGCTGGTGGATGTAGGACTTGACCCGGGTGGTGGGCCCCCAGGTCCTCACCGCCCTGCTCCCAGCCTTCTTGGGAGATCCAGTCCTGGGGCGGCCCCATGCCAGGCTGGCTCAGCCCATCCTCCTGCCCGCAGCATGAGCGATGACCCCGAGCAGAACATGAAGGTAGAAGCGTCCCCAGCGGCTGCTCGGCCACTGCCCGCCCAGACCCCACTACTCGGCCACTTCCTGGGTGCAGGAGCACCCTCCCCTGCCATCAGCCTCAGGACATTTGGCCGCATGCGAGGAGCCCCCAGGACCCCGCATCTGCTGCGCTTCCGAGCAGAGGAGAGCGGCGAACCCGAGGCTGCGGACCGCATTGAGGAGGCATCGGTGGGATCAGAGGACGAGACCAGGGAGCCCTGATCAGAGGCTGCCTGGCCCAGAGCCGTTCTGCCCGCCTCCCCAAGGCCTGGCTCCCCTCACTTCCCAACACCCTGCTGACCTCCAGCGCTATTAGAGCACTTGCTGTGTGTCCTGAGCTGGGGAATTTAGGGACAGACCCTGAAAGGGGAAGATGGTGGGGCCAGCACCAGGGTTGGGAATGCATCCATTTTGGTGGGAGAAATGTAGGATGGTTTGCTTGTGGAAGGTGAGGCTAGGATACATGGGCAAGGCCTAGAGGACAAGAACCCAGATGCACTGTTAATTTCCTGCTCAACAGGTTGTGGGGCCGTTCTCAAACCTGAGGGAGTATCAGTGGCACCGAAGGGCCTGCTCAGTATATTTGTGTGTGCCACTCCCAGAATTTGGTTTATTAGATCTGGCATGTAACTCAAGAATTTGCATTTCTAGTAAGTTCCCAGGTGATGGTGCTGCTGATGGTCCAGGCATCACAATTTGAGTCCCATATGAAAAGATGTTGAGGATATACCTTATCCTGATCTTACTCCGAAGAGGCATCAGAGTATGTGTGCTGGGGGACTTTTGCTTTACCTGTAATATTCTTTTTATTTACAATGAGAATATAATCAGTTATTACTTGTGCAATTACAGTTGTTTAAATTGGCCTGCTGGAAGATGGGATAAAGATAACATGGTAAGGGCCTGGGATTATGATCAAACCCAGACATGGAGGCAGCTGGACCCAGACCCAGCCCAGCCCATGGGTGGTTGGACTTCAGAGCGCCACTCCCTTCTGTTCCCACCAGTCCAACAGGAGGAAGCGTGATTTAAGGGGTGAAAGCTGTGGGTTCTTCTGTGGTGGGCTTGCAGTTCTGGGGGGCGGGGGGACCATCCTAATGGGAGCATAGATTGGAGTTGACTGAACTGAGCTCCACTCTGCAAGTTCAGCCTCCGATAAAGAAACTGGTGACTGCCAGAACCAAATCTTAGGGTCAAAGGATGACAGAACTCAGAAGAAACAAAAGGTGTAGTAAGGTTGAGTGCAGCCTCTGACATCTGGGGCTGGCTTTGCTACTTTCCTACTGGGCAACCATGGGTTACAGAATACCTAAACATAGGTCTCCAAGTTTTGTTTTTTAAATGCTTTTTTATTTGACAGAGAGAAAGAGCACAGGCAGAGCGGCAGGTGGGGGGGTGATAGGCAGGCTCCCTGCTCAGCAGAGAGCCTGATGTGAGGCTCTATCCTAGGACCCTGAGACCATGACCTGAGCTGAAGGCAGAGGCTTAACCCACTGAGCCACCCAGGAGCCCACATAGGTCTCCAAGTGTTTGTGGAGACAAAAGCACCCCAAGATAGCCATTTCCATAGAGGTTTTTCTCACAGGGTTAATGGGAGTTTGCCTTCAGGGAAAGAACGGTCAGCTGAAGGCTTCAGGAATGAATAGGGGATGAATCCAGGACTCTCTTTTGAGAGTGTGATAGAGAGCAGAGAAGGATCGGTCAGAGGAAGACGCAGACTCCCTGCTGAGCAGGGAGCTCGACCTGGGACTCAATCCCAGGACTCCAGGATCATGACCTGAGCTGAAGGCAGGCGCCCAACCAACTGGGCCATCCAAGTGCCCCGAATGAATCCAAGACTCTTTAAACACACTGCTTCTAGTCACAGATTAGAGGTAGGATTGAAGGGGAGGTATAATCTTCTAGAGCTCAAATGGGGAAATAAAGGCAAAGTGTCTAATCTGACTTTGTTACTCCTGACCAATACTGTAAACAGTTAACTAAAATATGGTGCTGCATTAATAACCACTGGATGGAAAGGTGGGGCACAAGCCTCCCAGAGCCCATGGTAAGGTTTTAGAAGATTGGGTTGCTTTTGCTATGTTCATAAGTTTTTGTACTAAGAAGTAGGGGGAGGGTCATCTCCTAGTTCATCTTTCCCTACTATCTATTCACAGAACTGTGATTCAGCCAAGCTAAGGAACCAATTTGGATTTTCACTCCTTTGGCTCTTAAGTTATACTTGCACTTCCCATCAACTTTAACTTCGGATAAAATCTTAAGTTTTTTTTTTTTTTTTTTTAATTAATTTAGCACATTTGAGTACCTCATATGTTGCCATGCACTTCCAGGTACTGGAGACAGCAGGAAACAAACGTACTTGTTCCTCTGGCATTCTATTCTAATTGGACAACAAAGAAAATGAGCAAAATTTATGCCCAATGAAGGGATAAGGAGAAAAAGCAGGGACAACAGATTAATAGCATGGAAGGAACTGTAATTTAAAATTATCAGGGAGGAACTCACTAAGGTTAAGACCTGGAAAATAAGGCACGTGCTATGTGAAGGAAAATGTTCCCAACAAATGGACTAAGAAGCAAACATGTGCTCTAAGGCCAGGATGATTAGCACGGTAGAAAAAGGGACCAGGTCACGGTGGGTTCCATAGCATTTGGGAAGGCTTCTGAGATGGGAAGCTGTCAGAAACCTATTGATTCCGATTTCTAGGACTATTTTGGGACAACAGAAGTATTCAGTGCTACTTGCTAAAGAGTGACCAGAAGACAGAGCCAGGGTGTTAAAAGGTTAAACCAACAAGATTTGGTGACATAGGATATTAGGAGTGTAGTGGTCAGAATGATCCAAGATTTTGATTTAAGCAGCTACATAAAGGCAACAATTTGCTATTATTAAATAGCTGAGAAACTATTTGAAAAGGGAAGGCAGAGGAATGTTACCAGTTTTTCACATGTTCACCTTTGAATCCAATCAGGATATTCAAATGCAGGTTTTAAATAGGTTTGGGTTAAAGTTAAGAAAATGCAGCACAAACTACATTTAATACCAACAGCAGACAATGTAGCCAAGCTGAAGACAAAGAGTTGACCCTTACAGATTTAGCAATGCAGAAATCACTGGTTATCTTGCACACCGGAGTTGTGAAGGGAGGGGGGAGGATTAGGGTTCAAGAGAAAATTAACTTCAGAAAGACATTCAAAAGCTAACAGGATAGACATGGAAATGTATACAACTTGCTCTCTACAATACCAAAAAATTTTGGAACACAATTTCAAGGTTTCTAGGCCATCCACGAACCCAGGCTGAAAACTTCAAGCTAAAACCTTAAAACCAAGGTTCACAAAGGAAAACAGTAGAAGCTCCCTCAAAGAGCCAAGTTCAGAGAAGCAGCATGGCTTCAGGTTCCAATCATGGTCTAATCAACATCCTAGTTAATACTGGGAGCCCAGGGCTGGGATACCTCCCGAATATGGTCTCTGGTCACCTGAGCACCACATCCCTGTTCCCACTGAACACTAGCCTCTGGGGTGAGAAACGTTCCCCCAGCTATATAAAGACATAGCCCCACATCTAGGACTGGCCTTCAGGGAGAGCGTGCTGAGCAACTGGATATTCACACATAACTCTGGACAGGACAATAAACACCTTTATTACATGACCGAAGGTGGAAGATTTATTTGCCTTTCCGGGCTTTGATTTTCCTCAGATAGAACTCTAGCTCCTTGCCCTCTAAGACGTAGCCATCTGCTCGGCCACACTGGCCTGGTCGTGAAGCGATGCATGCTGCAAGAGAGTATGTGTTCATCAGCAAAATGACAGTGGGTCCCTACCCAAACCTAGGTGTCTTCTTAAAAGTCCATGTTGGTTCAGTTATGGTGGGGGCAGGCTTGAAGCCCAGTGTCTCCTCAGATACACTTTATCGTCACTTAAAGTCAGTAGCAGAACTGGACAAAGTTTTCATCACTGAGACAGCCCCCTCAGCCCACACACAGACTTCTCAAAATACTTCTGGAAGTTAGAGGCAGAGGCCAACCTCAGGCCTACAGGCTCCTGCCCACTACTTCCCACTCCAGCCTCACACTAATGCAATGACCCCATGTTCTGATTTGTGCTTGTACACGGTTATCATTCAACTCTCCTAGTGAAGCCTTACCACACAGCTGGCAGTTAAGAGAACAAGAGGCAAGAATAAAATGCAGAGGGCAGACTGTATCTTGTGACCCAATCCCCCAATGCAAAGAGCCATCTTACCAAGAAGCTTGCCCTGCTGGAATTGCTCCTCCAGAAGACTGCTGATTTTGGCATTCTTTTTCCTTTCATCATACTTCTTCTGAATTTTCTTTGATCGTTTTTTGTTTAAAATCTCTTCCTCCTCGGGTGTCTGAATAAAGCAAATACATGGGTTAGCTGGGGCTCCCCTGGCCCTGGCTCAGGGAAGAAATGTCCCCACAGCTTTGGGCCCTGTACATCCCACTCCCTGCTGCCTTCCTCAGCACTTAAGGCTTTCATCTATTTCCCTTCAGTAGCAGAACTGGACACAGTTTTCATCATAAGAAGGCTGGAATAAGGCTGGCCTTGCTCCCCCCACAGGGACGTTGGCTCCCCTAAAACACGCACCAGCTTGGCCCCCTTCTTGCGGCCCAGGGGCAGTGCATAGTGGGACTCGTACCACTGTCGGTACGGTGTGCTGTCAATGAGCACAATACAGTTCTTCACCAGCGTCTTGGTGCGGACCAGTTCGTTGTTGGATGCATTGTAGACAACGTCAATAATCCTCGTTTTGCGCGTACAACCTGCTCACAGAACAATTTCAGAATCAAGTCCTGTAAACCAGAAGCCAACTGTCCTTGCTGTCCCCTACCAGCACACCCTCCCCCAAGTGCCCAAGGAGAAGCAAGGGACCTCTAGGCTGTTACCCAGCTACGGGGTGTCAGCTCAACTTCCACAAAGCCACCTTTCCAGAGATGACTGGCAACCACTCATCAGACTCAGCCCCAATCCCAATCCCTGAAGCTATAGGAAAGGAGTGAGACAAAATAGGATGGAGAGAGTTCTCCAGCTACCACAACCTTAACAGCTTTCAAAGAGAATCTTCGGTATCTTGGTGGAGGCCACAGACTTCCTGTTAAAGGCACTTATTGAAGCTTAGAAAGATTTAGGTGTGGAGTTCCCACCCCCTCTTGAAGGGCCTCACTCACACTCAGAGCCCCAGGAGAAGTTCCCCACGTCTAGCCTCAAGGCACGGTACTTCTTATTGCCTCCCCGGACTCGGACTGTGTGTATGCGGCGGGGGCCGATCTGGAAAACATAGAGGCAGTAACTAGGTTATCCAGGAGAGCAAGACAGGAGAAGGTACAGAACCCGGGCTGGACGGAGGCAACACAGTCAGTGTAACTATGACAAGTCCTAACATTGGCAAGTGGCACGCAAGCGGCCAAGACGGCCACAACCACACCTAAGGATACTTTTTCATCACTCCAGTTACCTCCAAGAAGAAAAACCTGATTCCAAGAGGGAAAATTAAGTCTCTATGCAACAAAAAAAAATACCAGGTTTCTGACTATCTTTTGAGAAGCCCACTCCCTCCAGGCGCCCTTGAAGACCTGATACCCAACATCTGTCTCCATACCACCTCTTTAGTCTTAAACCAACGCGTCCAGACGGAGGCCGCCCAGTCCCCTGGACAAATCAGAGAGCCCTAAGAAGACTCCACCACCACACGCAGGACCGGACCACGCTGGAGACCAGGTGGGGGGAGAGGCGAGGGCCCCCGCACGCACCTTGGTGTTGGCAGCGGGGCGTCCCAGCTCATACTTCCGCTTCTTGTGGTAAGGCTTTCTCTTGCCCCCGGTCTTGCGGCGCTTGTGCCAGTTGTCCCGAGAGATGCCTATGTATGGGAGCAGGGGGCGGAAGCTTTAGCCACGGGGGCTCGGGCCGGCACCTCGCGAGGCCCAGACCCCCGCGCCGGGCGGGCCGCACGCTCAGCTCTCCAAGGTTGGCTTCCCCACCGCGCACTCGGGAGTTTGCAGCATTACCAAGGTGTCATCATCCACATGCGGCCCAGACCAGGCTCTTTCCCGCGGCAGCCATGTTGGCGGCGCCCGCAGCACCAAACCCCTGCAGCCACTGCAGCCACCGCAGCGAGCCTCGGCGGCTAGAATCCGAGCACCACCTCCCTCGGGGATGCTCAGGGCCAGGGGTCGGGGCGCCCGAACTCCCGACTTGGCCGCGAGGCAGGATGGCACTGGATAGAACTCATCCCCCTTCCCAGGCCCCAACGCAGAGCGACACTCACCCATCACTCCCGGCGCTGGCTGCGAAAGAGAAAACGCAAAGCCTCACGGTCCGGTTTGTAAAACGCTGTCCCGCCCCTTTAACGTGTTTCCGGGCGCCGCGGCGAGGAGCCTGGCGACGGAGCGCGACGTTCCTTATGTTTCTGCGACCGCGTCCAGGGAGGTTCACGCGTTGAATCCCGAGGGAGGACGACCGGCGGTGGGAATGGCTGTGTTAGAGCTTGAGGGCTGTAGGGTACACCCGAGGGGGCAGTCGCCTGCTTGTTTTGTTTTGAAAAGACTCGCTTTCGAGCTGGGCGCGGCTGCTTTGGGAAAGGGTGGAAAGAAGTAGGGATGGAAGGGAGCTGTGGACTTGGGTTTTGTTTTGAAGAGTTTGATGATAGATTGGACGTGGGGGGTTAGGAAAAGGGAGGCGTGTCAAGGATTCCTCATTCCTCACTAGATCGTTTGGAATGACAGGCGACTGGTCATGTCTGGTCACCCTTATAGAAGATCTTGGACAGAAGATGTTACTTTGGGACCTGTCTCTATACAAATGGTAATTAACGTCACCAGAATGAAGGAACCTAGGGAGAGAGCATAAAGCAAATTTTCTTGTAAAATGTACTAAGTAACTGTTTTAGGCTTTGTGGGATATAGAGTCTGTCACAACTGCTCAACTTTGCTGTTGTAGTGTGAGAGCAGCCCTGGACAATATAGTTAATGATTGTGTGTGGCAGTGTTCCCTTAAAACTTGGGGTACACGTATTCACCTTTCATGTGGTATTATGCTTTTGATTTTTTCCAAACATTTAAAAATATAACCATTCTTGGCTCATGGGCCCAATCAGCATACAGTGGTGTGCCATCCCCGACCATAAATACAGTAAGATGTTCTAGGTCCAAGGCTTGAGGAATGTGAACATTGAAGGCCAGGTAGAGAAAAACTGGCAGAGGGGAGGAGGAGCAATTGAGTGACAGAAGGGAAGCCAGCACAGAATGGCATGGTCTGATGCTACTGTGAAGGCTAGTTAAAACGAGGACTAAGGGGCACCTGGGTGGCTCAGTGGTTTAAGCCTCTGCCTTCCGCTCAGGTCATGATCCCGGGGTCCTGGGATCGAGCCCCGCATCAGGCTCTCTGTTCAGCAGGGAGCCTGCTTCCCTTCCTCTCTCTCTCTGCCTGCCTCTCTGCCTGCTTGGGATCTCTCTCTGTCAAATAAAAAAAAAAAACAACAACAAAAAAGCGAGGACTAAAAAGTGATTTTCAGATTTAGTGACTCGAAAATCTTTGGTGATATTGGCAAAAGCAGTTTCTGTGCGGGGGAGTGGGCAAAACTTAAAGTGGAATGGGAAGTTTTATTTATTTTTTTGAAAAGATTTTATTTATCTGTTGGCATAAGTAGCGGGGAGAAGCAGAGGGAAAGGGAGAAGCAGACAGCAGACTCCCCGCTGACCAGGGAGCTGGATGCTGGCCTCGGTCCCAGGACCCTGAGATCATGATCTGAGCTGAAGTTAGACGCTTAACCAACTGAACCACCCAGGTGCCCCTGGAATGGGAAGTTTTTTTAATTCATTAATTAATTTAAAAATTTTAAAGATTTTTTTTTATTTGATAGAGTGAGAGAACACAAGCAGGCAGAGCAGCAGAGGGCGAGGGAGAAGCAGGCTCCCCACTAAGCAGGGAGCCCGATGTGGGGCTCGATCCTTGGACCCCAGGACCATGACCCAAGCCAAAGGCTCAACTAGCTGAGCCACCCAGGCACCCAGTCACTCAACCAACTGTGCACCAGGCACCCTGGGAAGTCACCAGTGCACCCAGGCACCCAGTCGCTCAACCAACTGAGCTACCCAGGCACCCTGGGAAGTTTTTTTTTTTTAAAGGACAGTATATGTAGATGATACTCTCAAGAAGTATTTTAAAGGGAAGGAGAGGATGCCTGGCTGGCTCAGCTGAAGGAAACTGGCTTTTCATTTTGGGGATCCTCAGTTCAGAGATTACTTTGAGTTGAGTGCAGAGATTACTTAAACATTTAAAAAAATAAAATAGGGGCGCCTGGTTGGCTCTGTCAGAACATGCAGATCTTGATCTTGGGGGTTGTAAATTCAAGCCCCATGGTGAGAGATTACTTACTTTAAAGAAGAAAAAAAAGGTGGGGGGAGACAATTAGGCTGCTGGAGGGAAACAGATCATAGGGTAGTACTGAAAGGAGTAAACTGCCTAAGCCCTTTCACAGTCTGCTCCAAATCCTATCTCCTCCCTTTGAAGGGACTCTCAACATTAGCCTTTCTTCTGTATCTTCAACCTTCCACTGGCTTCCTACCACATTCAGAATAAAGTCTAAATTCCTTGCTGGGCTGAGGAGTATCAGACTTCTGCTTATCTCTTGCTTTGTCAATTTGACCCCTACTATCTATCTCCCTCCCTCAACTCCCGGGCACTTTGACCTTGCTGTTCTTGCCTCAGGCCCAGGTGCTTTGCAAGAAAATGCTGTTCTCTAAGTCTTAGCTTGGCTCCTGCTTTCACTTCAAGTTTCTGCTCAAAATCTCACTTGTACATACATACACACCCTGGGAGGCCTTTTCTGAGCCTGCTTCCTAAAGTGGCAACACTTGGGGTGCCTGGCAGGCTCAGTCTGTAGAGCATGTGACTCTTGATCTCCAGGCTGTGAGTTCAAGCCCCACACAGGAGGTAGAGTTTACTTAAAAAACAAACAAAACTCTTGGGGCGCCTGGGTGGCTCAGGGGGTTGAAACCTCTGCCTTCGGCTCGGGTCGTGATCCCAGGGTCCTGGGATCGGGCCCCACATCGGGCTCTCTGCTCTGTGGGGAGTCGGCTTCCTCTCTCTCTGCCTGCCTCTCTGCCTACTTGTGATCTCTGTCAAATAAATAAATAAAATATTAAAAAAAAAAACTCTCTAAAGTAGCAATACTTACCTTTCCTCACTTAATATTAACATTGTTTTTACATAATCATTATCTGCCTTCCCCACTAAAATATAATAAACATGAGAGTAGAAACTCTGTTGCTTACTACTGTGTTTTCAACACCTATAATAAGGCCTGGCATTTAGTAAGCACTCAATAAATGGCACTCAAATATTTTCAACAAATTATTGTTCTACTTACCAAATTTTATTCAGTGGGTTTTCCCAGTAGACTGTGAGATTTTTGAGTATAGTGCAGGGAATTTTTTTTTTCTTTTTAGATTTTATTTATTTGTCAGCGCGCACAGCAGGGGGAGAGTGGCAGGCAGAGGGAGAAGCAGGCTCCCTGCTGAGCAAGGA